TATATATATATATATATATTCTATCTGTCTGTCTATCTACCATCTATCATCTGTCTACCTACCTACCTACCTAAATATTCTATATCTATTTATCATCTACCTGTCTATCATCTGTCTGTCTGTCTGTGTCAGGGACCAGACAGTTGAGTGGTGGGGTTGGTCACACTGTTGACAGCTCGTTTTCTGTTAGGGCCTAATCTCAGGCTAGGAGAGGATCTTCACAGACTCACCCACGGGGTCCGTGTTTAGCTTCCGTCTTTGGGACTTCCCCAGACCCCCAAGCTCGTCTCCTCTGAAATCAGGAAGCCCTCCGTGCTCCTCTGGGGTGGTTTCCCTTCGTGTTCTGCAGATGCTCTTTGGCGTGAGAGATTAATTTTGCATCTCTTGTTCTCCAGGGTTGGATCCTTGAAGGATTTCCTGACAGCCGAGAACTTGCCAGGTGCCTGCAAGTCCGGGGGATCATTCCTAGACACGTCGGTATGGATTTGCCTTCTCAAATCCTCTTTGAACGCTTCCTAGCTCACACCCAATAGCTTTGAATTGCTACTGCTGTACGTGTGATGCAGTTACAGGTAGTCCTCAATTCACGACCACAATCGGGCCTGAGATTTCCTTTCCTAAGCAAGTCAGCCATTAAGTGAGCTTTGCCCCATTATCTCACCTTACTTGCCAGACTTGTGACGAGAATCACTGCAGTTGTCTCGTTAGTAACATGGTAGTTAAGTACATCTGGCTTTCCCCCTTGACTTCGCTTGTCAGATGGTTGCAAAAGGGGATCACGTGACCCCGGGACTCTGCAACCGTCACAAGTACATGCCAGTTGCCCGGCATCTCAATCACGTGACCACGGGGATGTTGCAATGCTCACGAAGTGTGAAAAACAGTCCTAAGTTACTTTTTTCAGTGCCAAACGGCTGTAAGTCGAGAACTACATGTACGCCAAAGCTTTTATCTGGAAGAAAGAAAGCCATCGTGCGTCAAGGACTAGCCTGTAAAACCCCAAAAGGCGATGAAATAAACCTAAAGGTGGATTTTCACCCTACCCAAGACAAGACCAAGGAGAACCTCAGTGTGATTTATTCTGAAAGCACGGGGTAAAACACACACACACACACACACACACACACACACACCAATTTTCAGTCTGGCACTGGTAACGTTCTCCTCAATTATTTTTTTTCCCAGTGGTGCTCTACGCTCCCGATATCGTGCTGATCGAGCGGAATCTGGGAAAGAGAGTGGATGAAATCACCGGAGGTACATCTTGAGGGATTTTCACGCTTGAGGTCTGCAACAATGGAAATCAACCATGACAAAAGCAAATCTTCGGGGCCAAGCTTCACAGTCTGATCCATCAGGCTTCAGCCTGATCCTGTCAGATGTTTGGAGAACAGATCGTGTCAAAGTCCCCCTTCCTCATACTATCAGAGACCCCTCCTCTCCCCACGTCCCGGTGAGGTGGCTGAGATCTGGGGGTTTTGGGGTTTTTTTTGGCTAAACTTCAAAATACACAGTTGGGTGGTATTTTTATAACAGAATAACAGAGTTGGAAGGGACCTTGGAGGTCTTCTAGTCCAACCCCCTGCTCCAGCAGGAGACCCTATACCGTTTCAGACAACTACCAAGATCAACTGAACAGTAAAAGAAAGGGAACAAGCATCTGAGTTTACGGAATAACAGAGTTGGAAGGGACCTTGGAGGTCTTCTAGTCCAGCCCCTTGCTCAAGCAGGAGATCCTATACCGTTTCAGACAAATGGTTGTCCAATCTCTTCTTAAAACTGTCCAGTGATGAAGCTCCCACAATTTCTGGAGGCAAGTTGTTCCACTGGTTGTTTTGTCAAGAGGTTTCTGCTTAGTTCTAGGTTGCTTCTCTCCTTGGTTAGTTTCCACCCGTTGCTTCTTGTCCTGCCTTCAGATGCTTTGGAGAACAGGCTGACCCCCTCCCCCTCTTATTTGTTGCAGCCCCTCAAATACTGGAACACTGCTGTCATGTCATCCCTAGTCCTTCTTTTCATGCATCCATCTTTCATCCTTTCTGATTCTGAACTTCTCTGAACTACAATAAATCTGGCTGATGCCCTCCAGGTATTATCCACTAAGGCTTGTAGAGTCCCCAGTGATTAGATCTGAAGACTGGAAAAAGTGGAATTAATCATCCAGAACATTGGGAGATAACCATGCCTCTATTCTAGAGGGACAAGTACAGAGAAATATCCCCGCTGTTATACTGTATCTCAGACATTGCATGAATTCCTCTTACAAATGAAGAGAAGGACGAGGGGTGACATGATAGCAGTGTTCCAATATCTGAGAGGCTGCCACAAAGAAGACGGGGTCAAGCTGTTCTCCAGAGCACCTGGAGGCAGGACAAGAAGCAACAGATGGAAACTCATCAAGGAGACAAGCAACCTAGAACTAAGGAGAAACTTCCTGACAGTCAGAACAATTAACCAGTGGAACAGCCTGCCTCCAGAAGCGGTGAATGCTCCAACACTGGAAGTTTTTAAGAAGAGCCTGGATGGTCATTTGTCTGAAATGGTATAGGGTTTCCTGCCTGAGCAGGGGGTTGGATTAGATGACCTCCAAGGTCCCTTCCAACTTTATTATTATTATTATAAACATTCTCCAAGAATAAGATTGGTTTGCAAGTTAAGTATTTTTTTTTCAGCATTTAAGTCAAGTCTATCTCATGCCTGGTCTTTATCTTTAACACCAGAGGTGTACCACACCACTTTTGATTGGCCCACTGACGAAAACATCCGTTGGCGTTTGAAGGCACCCCGAGGCATATCTGAAAAAGAGACCGCTCAGAGGTTGCTGGAATATCACCGAAACTTCCCAGGAATCATTCAATCCTTTGGGAAGTCCATGAAGTTAATCAATGCGGACCAACTTTGTGCAGATGCCTTCTGGCAAGGTAGGAGCAGATTGGACACACCTTCATGTATGAATCATCCTTGGAATGGAACGGTATGAATCAGTAGACCAGTGTTTCTCAGACTGGGCAACTTGAAGATGGGTGGACTTCAGCTCCCAAAATTCACAGAATAACAAGAGTTGGAAGGGACCTTGGAGGTCTCCTAGTCCAGCCCCCTGCTCAAGCAGGAGACCCTATGCCATTTCAGACAAATGGTTGTCCAATCTCTTCTTAAAAACCTCCAGTGATGGAGCACCCACAACTTCTGGAGGCAAGCTGTTCTACTAATTAATTGTTCTCACTGTCAGGAAATTTCTCCTTAGCTCTAGATTGCTTCTCTCCTTGATTAGTTTCCATCAGTTGCTTCTTGTCCTGCCTTCAGGTGCTTTGAACCCCTCCTCTTTGTGGCAGCCCCTCAAAGATTGGAACGCTCCTATCCTGTCACCCCTAGTCCTTCTTTTCATCAGACAAGGCATATCCAGTTCCTTCAACTGTTCTTCGTATGTTTTAGCCTCCAGTCCCCTAATCATATTTGTTGCTCTTCTCTGCACTCTTTCTAGAGTCTCAACTTCTTTTTTACATCGTGGTGACCAAAACTGGATGCAGTACTCCAAGTGTAGCCTCACCAAAGCCTTGTAAAGTGGTATTAACACTTCCCGTGATCTTGACTCTAACCCTCTGTTAATGCAGCCTAACACTGTGTTGGCTTTTTTGGCAGCTGCAGCACACGGCTGGCCCATATTTAAGCGATTTAAGTCCACTAGGATTCCAAGATCCCTCTCGCCTTTACTACCCCGGAGCCAGAATTCTCCAGCCCACGTGCTTCCTGGGAGTTGAAGTCCACCCATTTTCAAGTTGCCACGGTTGACAAACACCGCGACAGACCCAAGTCCTAGGAGAGAAAGAACTTCATGGAATCCTTGCAAGGGACATTCTCTCATTCGGCTTGGTCTGTCGTCTTAGCTTTGAACATGACTCGTTTACGTTGGTTTTGGCCCTTCAGTAGGAAAACGGAGACATCGCTTGTTCTAAAATCAGGGTTTTTTGTTTTAAAAAAATAATTGCTCCATTCCCAAGTGTCTGCCACTGACAGCCTCTTTCTACGACTTCAGCCTGGGTTTACGCAGTTTTGAAAAAAAAAAGGCCCCTCTCTCTCTCTCCCTCTCATTTCAAGGCCTCTATTTTCCTAAGGTAAACAAGGCAGCCAACAAGTTTATCTTTGGAATTTACAGATTAATTACCTCTAAATTGCTTAATTAAATTTAAAAGTTCACATCATCGTTCATAAACAATTCATGCCTTGGATGGCAAATGCATGGCGCGCGCAGGCTGAATATTAATTGTTGTTAATTAATAATGCAGGGAGAGAAATTGAAAATTGGAATGATAAAACAAAAACAAAAACAAACAAACTTCCTTTTTTTTCTCTCTTTCTTTCCAGTGGAGGCATCAAGCATCTCTAGATTCTTTCTTTCTTTCTTTCCTTTTTTTTTTTTAAGAATAATTAGAAGTGGAGTCTGGGGGATCATTACTCCTAATTAACTTGGTTATTTACTGCAAATTAAGCGTCATTTGTAAGCAGGCTGGTTAGCCTGATAACTTTGTATCTTGGATAGGGCGGCTTGGGGAGACGAGAAATAAGCTGGTTCTAGTTAGCTGATGTTTACTCGGTGTTCAGTTGGGGTTCACGAACTAGGAGCAACTTGGAATCAGGGTTTGGAGTATCTGTAAGTATGAACACTTCGGCAAGTTTCTCTCACCACTCAAGGATGCAGTGTGTAAACAGAGGCTTTAGAGAGAAAAATTATGGAATGGGATAGGGATATGTATTAGATTTGTACTGCCGGCAATCAACACCCAGATAAGCAGAGATGAACTCCCAAGATTAACACTACTAGACCGACAATCAAGCGCTAAACAATACCCCAATCAAGGAACTACCAAATCAGACAAACAAGCTAACAATAAACAACAGCCTAATCAAGGCACTGCCAAGACCAACAGTGATAGGGCAAGTCCTTGAATGGAATAACAGATGAAAGGGACCTTGGAGATCTTCTAGTCCAACCCCCTGCATAGGCAGGAAACCTTACACTATTTCAGACAAAGTAGGGTATTGTTTTCTGCAAGGAAACAACCAAGCTCAGAGAGCACCAAGGATGCCTCATGAGCTACAAATAATTCTCCTTTATTACGGTAGTACTTTCTTTTTTCCCCCTTTTTTTCCAAATAGTTCTGTCACATGTCCGACAACCGCCTCAAACGCCCGCTCCGTTCTCACCGCGGATTCTTCTCTGCGGACCTCCAGGATCTGGGAAAAGTCTGCAGGCAGCTTTGCTAGCTCAGAAATACGGCCTCATCAATGGTTGGTGTTCCATAATATATTCCTTTTTTGTTTGTTTGTTTGTGCGCTCTTTCCTCTACGGGTAACCACCTCGGTTTACGATCACCATTTCCATTCCTAAGCAAGGCTGTTGTTCAATGAGTGGCACGCTGCCCCGGGGGATTCTGGGAGCTGAAGTCCAGACCTCTTAAAGCCTACTAGCTAGGAGTCAAAGTCCACCCACCTTAAAGTTGCCAAGTTCGAGAAAGAATTGCTCTAGACTAGTCTAAAAGAAACAAGCTTTCTCCTACATCTGGGACCCAGATGTAAGATTTTTTAAAAAGATTTTAAGGTTTTAAGATGATAAGATTTTTAAGATTTCATCCCTAAATAAAGAGAGGAATAGCTTCTGAAAAGGACAGAACGTTCCACTCTTGAAATCATATCCAAATAGCCCTCAACGTACGGCCGCAATTCAGCTCCAAATTTATGTTGCTAAGTGAAATATTTGCCCCATTTTACGACATTTTCCTTCCCCAATTGTTAAGTAAACCCCTGCAGCTATTGTTAAGTTGTTGTGAACCTGGCTTCCACATTGACTTTGCTTAGCAGAAGGTCGTAAAAAGGGATCACACGATCCCAGGACGCGGCGACCGTCATAAATATGAATCAGCTGCCCAGCGTCTGAATTCTGACCACGTGACCCTGGGGATGCTGTCCTTGAAGCCACTTTTTTCCAGTCCCCTTGTAACTAAATGAATGGCTGCAAGTCAAGGACTACCTGTACAGGATCACAGAGTTGGAAGGGACCCCGGAGGTCTTCTAGTCCAACCTCCCCCCCTTGCTCAAGCAGGAGACCCTACCTAAACCCTTCTGGCTGTCCAGTCTTCTCTTGAAAGCCTCCAGTGATTGGAGCACCTTGACACTTCGTTGGAGAACTACCAGATGTTCTTCTGGTGAGCAGCCAAGACTTGGAAGTCCTACAAAGAAAATTCCCCAGAAGTGTTCATAACAAATGACAAGAAAATTACACGGGTGGATTCATAAACTCCCTCAAGTCAAACGGAGGTGATTATTATTTTGTTTACCCTACTGTGGGCTGTTCAAATGTCAAGGCAGAGCTCGGAGAAGACAGCTAAAGTAGCATCCCAGGAAGTTTTGAGTTGCTTTGGGAGAACTTTCCATCTCTACACGTTCCTTCCGTAGTTGTAAGTTTGTGATCTGTGAGAAGCCCACCAGCTTGCTCCTGCGTGTTTCTCTGCCTCGTTTGGATTAGTATCTGTCTCTCTCAACCTTACAAAATGAAAATGACAGGGGGGGGGGGAAGAGAAAACTTCCTATTCTTTTTTTATTCTGTATTCTTCCTTGCTTTTGTCTGTGTGTGTGTGTGTGTGTGTGTGTGTGTGTGTGTGTGAGAGAGAGAGAGAGAGAGAGAGAGAGAGAGAGAGAGAGAGAGGTATCTGATGGAGGAACTGTCTGAAAAAGGCCCCACGGCTTTTGTATTATTCAGTGTCCTTTTTTCACACCTAGGTTTTTTTTATTATTATTTTTGCTTTTTGTTATTCTGTTCTCCTCTCCATCTTCTCGGTTAGGGCTCCCCTTTCTGCCTCCCTCCCTCTCTCTCTCTTGCTTCCCTTTTCTCCCCCCCCCTTTTTTAAAAATTAACTTTCTTTTTCTGTTTCTACTTGAGCTTCCCTTTCTCTTCTTTCCTTCCACCCTTCCTTCTTCCCTCTTTTTCTTTTCTTTTCCCCCTTTCCTTTTTAACAATTAACCCTGTCTTTTTCTGTTTCACCTTTTTCTCACTTCAGCTCCCTTCCTTCCTCCCTCCCTTCCCTCATTCCTGTCTCTTCTTTCCTTCATATCCCTTCCTTTCTTCCTTCTCTCATTCCTGTCTTCCTTCCTTCCTTCCTTCCTTCCTTCCTTCCTTCCTTCCTTCCTTCCTTCCTTCCTTCCTTCCTTCCTTCCTTCCTTCCTTCCTTCCTTCCTTCCCCATATCCCTTCCTTCTTTCCCTCTCCTTCCTCTCTTTCCTTCCTTCCTTCCTTCCTTCCTTCCTTCCTTCCTTCCTTCCTTCCTTCCTTCCTTCCTTCTTTCCCTTCCTTCCTCCCTTCCTTCGTTCCTCCCTCCCTTCCTCTTTTTCTCCCCCCCCCCTCTTTTAAAAAAATTAACCTTGTCTTTTTTCCATTTCTCCTTCTTCTCAGTTTGCTGTGCACAAATGCTTAAGGAAGCTGCTACCAACGATACCAGACTCGGGAAGTTCATTAAGCCCTACCTGGACGGAGGATGGCCAGGTAAGCAGAAGGGTGACCAGTTTGTGGAAGTGGATAACCGCCGGCTTTTTGCGAGAGGACAAAAAAAAAGTTGAATCTCCTGGTGATTGACGCAAAGTCACCCAGCCGGCTTTAAGGCAGACGACAATTCTCTATCTAACTGGTCCAAAGTTCACCTAAGTGGGACTAGAACTCACCGTCTCCTGGAGATTGGCCCAAAGTCACCCAGCTGGCTTTCATATCTAAGGCGGGACTAGAACTCACCGTCTCCTGG